AAAATTTCTGAATAAAACGAGGCATCTCCCAGCTCTACACGACCTTTCTTTGCAAAGTTATAGAGTTTACAAGAAAAGCCCTAAATGTTCATTGTCACCTCAGAGTTACAGAAAGAAAAACGAAAAATGAATTTAGGGCTTTCTTGTAAACTCTATAACTTTGCAAAGAAAGGTCGCGTAGAGCTGGGAGATGCCTCATTTTAATCAGAAATTTATGGACTACAATTACGCCTCATTAAGAAAGCTTTTGGTCGTTGTTTAGAGTTTCTCGAAAACTGGTTTTCCAGAAAACCGATCTTTGAAGGCCTAGCAGCAGCATTCATGGTGATATTCGGAATCAGCACCGTCGACTACCTATAGTCCACTCGGTTTCGTTGAAAAAGCGATTTATCAGTTGCGGTACTTCCCTCGTCAGTCCAGTTTCAATGAACATTGAAAGATTGTTACAATCGTGTTTTCTCCATTTTTATGTAAATACAATGAGGTAGTTAGATGCATCATTAGAAAGTATATTTCATAGACTAAAATAATCAGTATAAATCATGAACAGACAAACTTGCACTGAATTCATCAAGTACAAATTTTAAGTTACAGAAATTTTAAATAATTTTTCGATAAAAAAAGCTTGAAAGTAAAGTGTACTAAGTTTTGTTTATGAGAGAAAACAAAGTAGTTATAAAAACTAGCTAAACAGAACAAAATGAAAGAGACAAAATTCATTATGTCATTTTGTCTGTTTAGTTGATATATAAGAAAAATTTGTAAGAGTACGAGTATAAGCATATTATTCAATAAAACACAAAGGAAGAAAGGAACAAAGGTTTATCAAAAGAAAAAGAGAGAAAGAACAACAATATACTAAACAATAAGAGGGTGAGACGAAACGAAAGAATATGATAGAGCTTAAAAAATGTTGAATTTCTTTTATATTTTCAACATAAATACTCTTCTACAAATTTTAGTAAAATAAGTCAAAATTTGACAGAGAAAAATTAACTCTTCTCTGATTTAACAACATGCTGAATTTTTTTTCTCAATATGTTTAGATCTGAATTTTTCTTATAAGAAAACCAGAAATAATGAATTTTATGTACGAAAATGTTCTTAAAGTTGAAAATATGATGTGAATCGAATGATAGAGAATAGAGACCGAATGGAGTCAAACTCATTTGACCCGAACTCGACCCCCAATTTTTTTCCTTGACTCGAGTGAATTGAAATTGTGTGAATTTTTCGCACAAAAAAAGGGTGTAGCTTTAGTTTTTCGCAGAAAAACGCATGAAAAAATTTTCAATTTGTGACCCGAACGGGACTCAAAATATTTTTTTATTTGATTCGAACACTATCCCAACCCGTTTCGGTCTCTGATAGAAAATACTACGTTCAGTACAATCAGAAAGTAAAGCTTTTGTGTAAAATAAAAGTTAAAGTTCCGTGAAATTTTAATTCTACACATTGATCAAACAAGGTTATGCAAAACTGATTGAAATTTCCTATATGATGATATCGAAGAAACCGAACGCTACAGCTATTCCACTCAGGATACATAGGACGTATATCTAACTTAATGCAGATTTCACTTCTTAACATCCTATATGCTTTCAAGAATTATACGAAATATAACAACGACTCAACTACTGACGAAATAATAAATCTGTTCCTAAAAACATTCTCATAGTCAATTAAATGGTTCTAGTTCATTTCTTTTTACACATTTTTTGTTGTTGTTTTTGATTAAATAGCCATTTAATGTTAATGATTCTCTAACACAATTTTATGAAAATATGTCAGATGTGTAATAAATCTTAAGATATATATATATTTTGTCAATAATCATTTTATTTTCAGATTGACATTGAATAAAATATGTATAACGTTGGTTTGATACAGGTATGATTTTTCAAATAACAATTTTATTACTATAGAAATAATAACAGCTGCTGTTATTATCTCTATAGTTTTAAAATGTACGTAACATTAACAATTTTATTAAAATTTATCTATATGCATTTGTTTTAGTGGCGTCGATACAATTTTTTTGATAAAGAATCAGTACATCGAAAAGATGGAAAACCAATTGAAGATCTTAAAGTAGCTGAATATCTATAAATATAAAATCTTATATATACTAAGTTTTATTTTAGAATGTTTCTGTTATTGCATCAACAAGTTCAAATGGTGCTGGTGGCGGACAATTGATATTTGGATGTTCAGATGGTTCGATATGTGTACTGAATCGTGATTATGAAGCAAATCATTTTAAAGTATTTGATATTAAATTACAATTACTTTGTCATTCAATGAATGGTGACACATTAGTAGCTATTGGGGTAATTAATAATGACAGTTTGTTGGATTGAAGTAATTAATTAGGTATATTTTCCTATTTTCTAGATGGATGAAAATGAACCGAAACAATGTATTAAAATATTTAAAACCGACAAAGTATTAAGCAAACTTCATTTTGATCAAGGATTCGATAAAATATATGCTCTCTACTTTTAGCCATTAATCGATAAAGATAATGCTGAACCAGTGAGAAAAATTCCATTAGCAGTCACTGAACCACCAGTCTCAGAAGTGAGTTTTGTATTGAAAAATGGAGCTCCCTATTATAAACTGTGAGCTGAACAGTTTAAGTGAAATAGAAGAGTCTACTGTAAAAATTCCATTATCTCCTCTGCTGAACAGATATCAGAAGATTTTATTACTTCTTCCTTCATTTAGATATGTGCATTGGCAATAACAGATCGTCATATGGCAATTGGATGTAAAAATGGCTCGGTTTATTTAGTTTTTGGTGATTTAGTAAAAGAAAAGTATTACTATTGTTATTGCAATAACATTTTACGTTGAGATTTCTGTCTCTCTCTCTCTCTTTTTCTTTCTCTAGACGTTTCAAATTTTCCAATCCAATCTATCAAGAAGATAAACCAATTACAGGATTAGCATTTAGTGAAAATAAATTACGAAACGAACTGATATTATATCTGACTACTGAAACCTCTGTATTATCGTTTCGTTTTCAACCAAATTTTATACCATCAACTAGAGATAGTAATTCTCCTAGTCGTTTAGCATTTCATCATCATATAAAAGCATTTGAACATCAACAACAGCAAGCATCTCCTCAATTTGTTGTGACCAGATTAGAATCGGAACATGGTTGCAATTTTAATTGTTCCGTTTTATCAACAGATGTCAACGGTGAGCAACAATTTGTTATTGGAAATCAAATGGGTGTATTTGCTTATGTCGGAGAAGATAAACGTTTTGCTCACGTAGCTGAGGGTGAAAAAATTGCATTGTCCTGGTGGTATAATTATCTATTAACAGTAACAACAGAAAATCGATCACCACAAATGCAACAGTCGGCTTCAACTATACTTTCACATTTGAGAGCACAGTAAGTAGTACCACACATCGGAGAGTGTGATAATTTTTGTGCAAGAAATATAAAAAAAACTCTTTTTATCTTCTAGTCAAACAACTGTTGATCAACAAGTATTAGCAATATACGATGTTCAAGGAAAATTTATTGCCTATTCTGTTGGTTTTTCAAAAATTCAATGTGTCGTTAATGAATGGGGTTATATTCATATATTAACTGGTGATGGTGAATTACATCGTTTTATAGAAAGAGATTTACATACACGTTTAAATTTATTATTTAAAAAAAATAGTTATCAACTTGCCCTTGAGTACGTATTGTTAATTGTTCTTATTCGTTTTCTTTATCAACTTTAGAAGGATTATTTTGACGTTAAAACTTTTCTTCTCTCACACTGGATCATATTTAGATTTTGTATAAAAGATTTCCTTCGGATATCAAACACTTTCAATATTTGTGTTTAAAACTCTTTAAATATTCAAAACATTTCTTTTCTACTCTATTCCGTTGCTACATCGTGATAAAAGTGAAGATAAATTTTCACAAAAATTTAAGTTCTAGACTATGGCATTCTTTCCTTTTTACAGAGTACAGATCACACAAAACTCAAACAAGATCTGTACAAAGAAAAAGATTTCGTCTTTGTTTTAATGTAGAATTTGTTGTTTTTAAGTTTAAAGGAGCTATTTAGCAGTGTTTTGCACGACAAGTGAAGTCGTGCTTTTATCTGCAAGAACTTTTATCTGCAAGAAAGAAAGACGGACAGTGAAAAAATAAGACGTTTTTTCGAAATGTCAAAAAACTCGTTTAGAACTACTGAAAACGCTTAAGTCTTCACTGATGACAGAACATTTCGAAAAGTTTTTCCAGTTTTTTCAACTCTTCAACACGTTCGTTTCAAAATTCACAGAAACATAAAGATTATTTTGTAAAAAAAATGAAAAATAGAACTCTTGCTAGGTTTTTCTTTATCTTCTTTGTTGCTTTTCTCATCTGGAGAGATCACTTATCAACGAATAGTTTAATAAACGAAGAATCGCATGACTTACATCTAATAATACTATTTTATTTCAGACTTTCTCGTAAAAACAAAACTAGCAAACAAGGCATGGCTGAAATATTCAAACAATACGCCGATCATTTATATGCGTTAGTTCAACTGACTTTCTAGGATTTATATTAAAATAACATTGTTCATTTTACTCTTGTTTAGAAGGGGCGAATATGATAATGCTACAGATCAATATATTAAAACAACTGGCTTTCTAGAACCTTCTTATGTCATCAAAAAGGTAACGAATCATCATGATGAATTACTTAAACTTAACAGTGTGATAGAAAAGAATTTTTTTCTCGGTTTTAGTTTTTAGATTCTCAACATATTGATCATTTAACTCGTTATCTTGAAGCATTACATCACGAAAAATTAGCTAACGTTGATCATACAACATTGTTATTAAACTGTTATACAAAGCATCCTGATCGTATTCAACGTTTAGATCAATTTATTGGTTTAGCATCATCACAACAAAAATCATCTACTGATCAACAAAATCGGGATAATGATAGTGGTGTGAGTGAAGAACTTAGTTTTGATGTTGACACTGGTATCGATGTTTGTCGACAAGCTGGTAAAAGATTAATTTTTTTAAAATAAAAAATATGTACACATATTCTTCATTTTAGGATATTTTAAACAAGCTTTAGCATTATCAGAAAAATATCGTCGTCATCATAAATATATAAAAATTCAAATTGAAAATATGAAAGATTATGATCAAGCATTAAAATATATTCAAACATTAAAATTTCAAGATGCCTTAGACGTTTTTAAAACATACGGTAAAACATTGGTAGATCAACGACCAGATTTAACAACAAAATTATTAAAACAATTAAATCCAAGTAAGTAGATATAATTTTATTTAATTTTTCTTTTTCTTTTTTCTTTTCTTCTCTCGTTCTCTTTTAGCACCACAGGAAATTGAAGAACAAAAACTACCAGATTCATTAATTGATATATTTATGAATCATCCGAATGAATTATTGGAATATTTAGAATTTGCTACAACAGTATGTATTCAAGAGTAATTCAGCGAATGATATTTATCATTTTCTTTTGCTATTTGGATTAAAGCAATATGCCAATGTTTCCTCATCTATTTATGATATTATATTGGAATTATATTTACAAAATTTTGATAAAATTGATGATAAGAAAGCAAAAGATAAACGAAGTAAACAAATTTTAGCTTTATTACAAAATACAAAAGTAAGTAGATATTTATTATTGAAATTTTTCATATTTTTTTTCAAAAATTTAAATAATAATGTTTAGCTTGATGTTGATCCTCATCGGGCAATGATCGCTTGTCAAAAATATAATTTTAAACCGGGTGTTATTTGTTTGTATGAAAAGGCAAAATTGTATGTAAAAGAAAAACATTTGTATATTGATTACTTTAAAATTAGATAGTTTTTATTTTTATTTAGATATCAACAAATTTTACAATATCAAATGGATAATAAAGATAGTGATGAAATATTGGCTACATGCACGACATATGGTGTAGAAGATTCACAATTATGGATACAAGCTTTGAGTTATTTTTCAAAATTAAAACGAAGTGATGGTTGCCGAAAAGAAATTGGACAAATTTTAAATTGTAAATAATTATTCATTTTATTTTTGTTACAGTTTTAATATGTAATTATTATTCTATATTGTTTTCTTTTTTTTTTTATTTAGATATTGATAAAAATGATTTACTGTCACCATTATTGATTATTCAAGTACTTGGAAATAATGAATCGACAAGTTTAGATATACTTAAAGTAAGAATGTTTGTAAGAATTTGATTTCGTGTATTAATCTAGTGTTTTATATTTTCAAAGGATTATTTAATTCGTAAATTGAAAACTGAACAAGAACAAATTCAAAAAGATCAAGAAGAAATAAAAGAATTTCGAGATGAAAGTAATAAAATTTCGAAAAAAATTAAAGAATTACAGACAGCGTAAGTATAAGGATATGAGATAAAAATAGAATTAATGATAATCTTTTTTTTTAATCATTTTATGCAGGCCACTTCTGTTTCAAGATGCGAAATGTAGTTCATGCAAAATGGTATGTGATAAATATACGAGGAACTGAAAAAGTGCAGTTATTTAAAAAGTTAGAGATAGTGTGCTTGAGTAAAACATATTTCTACCAAATGAAGAAGATATATTTAAAATAATTATTCATTTTTTGTGAAAACTTCCTAGGACTTGTCCGTTTTCCAAAGGAAAAGGAAGTTTGAAGTATAAAGTTTATATATGAGGCTTTTTATGGTTTGCAGAGGGTCTTTTTCAGTAGGTGTAAACATCAAATTTACATTGAAATTTGATCAATCACATTTTCACGCCGAAAGTTTACAGCTACTGAAATGTGTGTTTACAGTTACTGAATGGATTAATAACAGACAGTATGATTGATCTGATGTTGTTAGACACAAGTTTTAAAAATTGTTACCATATTTCTTTTAATGTATATTAGGTATTAATGATTTTATTACGATTTTAAAAATTTTTATATGTTAGTGTAAAAAGGATAGATTGGGCTAAAAATAATGCTTGATGTAGCAATATAGAAATAATAGGTTAAAAAAAATCTCATTTTCCATATGAACAGAAATAAAAGCTATTAATTAGAAGTTTCTCTCGCACCCTACTATTCTTATTTAACTTCCTTCTATTTATACATGTTCTATGTTGTAGTCCAAACAGGAAGTTTTCACATTTTTGCTTCGTATTCTATTTAGGATCTCGATATTCCATCAGTGCATTTTTATTGTGAACATTCCTTTCATGAGCAGTAAGATATTTAAATATGATTTGTTTCATCGTTATCATTGATACTATATGAACATTTCAGTTGTGCATATGCTATTGAGTCAAATTCCGATATTGAATACGAATGTCCATTATGTTCTGGAGATAATCAGTATGATCTTTTTTTTCTTTTCATTTTCTGTCATTCATTGTAATTCTATTATTATTGTTTATTTTAGCAAATGGATTGAATTGGTGAATAATCAAAAAGTTGGACGAAATATACATGAAAGTTTTCATAGAGATTTAGAGAACAAGGCGGATAAATTTGGAGTAATTGCAGATTATGTTGGCAAGAGACTGTTCGATAAAGTAAGAAATGTTTTTAGAATTTTTTTATACTAAGGTGCTTGTCGTCATTCCCTTAGTGTCAATATTAGTGTAGACGTAAACAATTTTTAAGTATAATAGAAAACGAGTTCTCATGTGAAAATCGTTTCTGAATAAAACGATTTGAACGAGATCAAAAAAGAATATCCAAGTATACAAAATTTTAACTCACTCGTTATAAAAGTTGACTGTCAGTCATAAGAAAGTCACCTTAACTTTTACTTTTAGGAATAAATATCCTTGCTCAAAAATTTGTCTACAATGTCAACAATTCATTTATTTGTTACAGTTATCAACGGCTTCGAATTCTTTTAGTTACATTCTATTTCTTATTGTGTTTATTCTTAAAGATAATTTATGTGTTGTTGTTATTTTTTTTTATTGTAATTGCATTTCTTAATTTGTATAAAGTATTTTTTACATCTTTTGTAATAAAATTCCAACTGTTTTCGAACTATTGATTCAAAACATTAATTTTTATTACAATGTGCTAAACTATTCAAACGAATAAATTTGTGTACGATATTCTATCACTGTTCAATCAAAAACAATAAGAAAAATGGATGTTGGAATGTGAACAGACTAGAAGACAAAGGTTAAAATTCAAAATAAAAGAACAAAAAAAAAATATGTTTTTTCCCGGTAAGATAAATGGGCATACATAATACAAAAAATACGTTCAACTGACTAGATAATTATTATGTACAATATTTGAAAATTTACCAATATCATCTGAACTCTCTACAAGAATCATAACGCGTTGGATATTATATACTTTTTTTTTCATGCACGATTGCCATTACGAAAATAGTAAAAAGAGCGAACAGATAAACTCATCTGTTTTACGTGCAAAAAAAATATTATCTTTTCGAATATCGATAAATCTATCAATATTTTAAACGAATCCAAAATACTAATGTTAGAAAAAGTTAAAATGACTAGTAAACTTGATAAATATAAAAAAAAAGACATTGGTTATTAAAACAGACAAGTATCTATCAGAACTCCGTATGTTTCCAAAATTTTGAGTTTAGTCAATTTTCTGTTTAAATCGATACATCTTTCGATGGGAAGGACCTACAAGGCCAAAAAATTAATTTTCTTCTTAGATTCTCTTCTAAGTTTTTCATCAGACAAGACAAATATAAGCCCTGTAAACCCTTTTCCTCCTCCGTACTTACGACTCTAGTCTAAAACGTAAAAGATAAGAACTTCCCTGTAAAAGCTAAAATGAAAATATTTTTTTACTAGCATTACCAGAAATTGCAAAAAGTATCGAAAATTTTGCTTCATCGATGTTTTAAAGGTTAATTCAATCCATACAGAGTTCTGGTACATACAAACACAAAAAGTGATATGCTTCACGATTAAAGTACAACAAAACTTTGATTAAAAATTGATGTACTGTTTTAAAAGCAACATAGGAAAACTCAAGTTAATTTGAGCAGGAAAAGAAAGGTTATAAACGAAGATACTGAATGACTAGACTATTCACCATAAAAAAAATGTACCCATTGACAACAATCTGTTAGACTAGAGAGTACCATAATTTTCATCTAACGTTTTATTGTTACAATTTTTCGTTTTCAACACAACACGTGTAGCTTTCAATTCATTCTTGTTGTTTGAACCATTATGAATTGCGTCTGAAAAGTAACCGGCAGTAAAAATAGATGAAAACATCGTATACAAATAAATAAACAAAGTATCCACCAAAATTTCGAAAAAACTTCATAATGTCAAAACTTGTGACCCTTTTTGTACGGAAAACTCAAGCTATGTTACGGTGAAAAGAAAAAATTGTTTTAGTTTTTACGCTTTAGACAGTAACGTATTTAATAGTTTTCTAAGGGGTGGTCTGCCAACGAATAAAGACTTTTCAATCAAGACAAAATTTTCCTTAGCTACGTCTTTGACTCTTGACTATTGCGATGTTCATTAAGGGTAGGAATATATAACTGTCATTATAACACTGAACAGAAAGACTTACCGTTATGAACTGAATTATGAATTGTTTCATAGTTGTTTACATGTTTCACCGTTGGTTGACGATGGATACAACGACGACATATCCAATAGGCAATGAATAATATTGTACCAACAAATAAGATGATAATACCACATGCAATAAGAATACCATGAAGATGTTGCCATCTTTTATTATGTTTAGATAAATCTAAAGTGAAGATAATAAAATAAACGTTATTCTTTGTTGTACTTGTACAACGTAATTAGGACTCATAACTTACTTCCTGAACATGAATCATCATTTTCGTCAGAGTTATCTAAACAATGGGAAATTTCTAAAGCAAAAAATGTAGACATGCAGTGATGAAAAGTCAATTCGAGGTTGTTGATACAAAAAGACATTTATAATTAGAAAATAGTGCCTTTTCCGCGATAATTTTTTCACTTCGACGAAGATAAATCTTTTCTTTTTCTATTTAAGACCATTTTTTTTAACTACGTACTATCACATTTTAATGTACTACTAATACATTCATTGTTTCGACATCGATATTCATCTTCTGAATCACATGGATTGCCTAGTGTTGCTACAACAGCAAAGAGGGATATATTGATAGAATATCTCAATCAAAGATCTCTTTATCAAAGATATTTGTACAATACATACGATTACGAAATGCAGACAAGATAATTATAAATCCTTTACTAGCAACTTGTCCACCATCAGTTCTATAAAATAAGGGTTTTTACTATAATCACATTTCTATGTCAGATTTTTCTACATACACAAAATGAATGGTGACAATGCCGGATGTTGAAACATATGAGGTTCTATCTGTCGATGAATACTTCCCACAATGCTCGCTTCCCTTAAATGAGATGAAAAATTTTGTTTAAATAGATGCAAGATATACACAAACTTCTTCTACCTACCAACAGATGTTCTCTAGACATATTAAAAGAATTGTAGAGAAGTACTTTGTCTAAGCACTGTGTACCGGATAGCACATCATTCAAATCCATAAGCAAAAACTGTATACGCATTTTTAAACCCTCTCGTCGTGTCTAAATGGTATAAGATAAGTGTCTCATTTTAAAAAATAAAAACATATTCGTTTATCAACCTTAAATGTCATAAAGCAATCTTCGAAATCATGATATTTTTCAAATAAATGAGATTTGACTATTGCACCCTCGATACGATGTCCTTCGCCACACACTTTTCCTTTCTTAAGTCCTTCCGCCTTCGTCGGATTTGATATCATAATGTCTAAACAGAAAGAATATACATATAAATAGGTTTGTTATTATTATATTTCTTTTTCTGGTGTTCACTTACATTCATCGTAATCTGGATCAGACGGATGTATTTCTCTGTTGAGTGAAACACGTAAAATGTTAAGTGAGAATGTGATTAGAATATTGATTAACATTCAGTTTTAATAGAACATATAAATAGTTAAACATATCTAAAGATAACGAAAATACTTTTAGATCCATCTTGCTGATTACCACTGACAGGCATAAAGTTTCTGCTATGTATATATTCTCAAAAAAATACACACAAATTTTTGGATGAGAGTCAATGATTCCCAAAATCGTTGCAGAGATAGTATAAAAGCCTTTTACAGGAAAAAAGCAAGAATTTTTGAATTACTGAGTGGACCAGAATTTTCTCTTTGAAATCATGCTTTTTCTCTTATCTGCCATTTTTTAGCACGCTCATAAACTGTAAAATAAGCCTTAACAGTCAAGAACTTTCTGATCCATAAGACTTCTTTTGTGCTGATAACAAGGTAGAAACGAAAATGTGATTTTCTCTAAAATCAGATTAACGAAGATGAATTACAATTTTTACTTTTCCATCGCTGTAGATTTTCATTTTTTCTAATTGATTGATTAAACTATAGATAAAATTTGATTACCGCTAAACGTCAAATTTGCCCGTCGAAAATGGTTGTTGTCGGATATTTTTGAAATAGACTAAGGCAAGATAGCTGTGGTCACTGTTGAGAACTATTTTTCTGACGAATTTATTCTAAAAATTTATCATTCATCAGGCAGTTTACTGACTTCTATCAAAAAAAAAGTTGAAAAATAACTTAATATTCGCCTTTTCATTCTGACATATTGTCATTTGGCACTTTTTAGATACTAACAGCTGATCCTTTTTGGAAACTTTTGTGTTTTCGACGACTAGAGATAAACATGATTGTCTTCTTTTAGCCGAAAACAAGGATCCAGAATATATCGAGTTGAAGCATACTTTTCCATTGGTAAATATCCTGCAAAAGGAAAATAATGAAAACGATGTCGCAGACATATTTGTATCGTTCAAAAATTTGACAGAAAAAAGTGAAAAACCCTTTTTCTTCGAGAACATGTGGCACAATGCTCACGTTTCTAGTATGAATGATGGAATTCCCTGAACATATTACGATGGCTCAAGGACACAACCAGGAATTTTCATTTGCTGGGTGAACTTAAATTAGGTCAAAAAAAGAACTACGCTATCCTGTAGCAGGTTCGAGAAAAAGCACTGAGCCGAAAGAATTTTCGAAATTTTCAGTTTTGAAATCATTGGGAAATGAAGGACGCTTAGTTTCGCAATTTAAGGTGACTGACAATCCCCCAAAAAGCACTGAATTGTGCGATCAAAGAAAATCAATTACAATTTTGTTTTTTTCAAATGTCAAAGCGATAAGTAAAAATAAATGTTTGCGTTTTGAACGTATCTATTTTACAATCTTTTCGACTTTGTTTATCAAAAGGCAAAACGCTTAGTTTTGCGTCGTCTAAAAGGTACACGTATAGATTAGAGATCTGCACGGGGTGCCAGGTCACAGCGGTCGTGGAAGATTTTTCACTCCACGGTCACTGTGCATGGGCAGCCTCTAGTGTAGATACTTGTTCATATATGCAATTTTTATATATATGTCTTTATACTTGATACAGATACGTGTATTATGTAGAGGCCTGCACGAACACTTTTTTTTTTGTCCATGGAATTTTCGCGTCTTTTAGATAAGTTTATCCATGTCAATCTGTGTCCATGGACAAATTAAAAAAACTGACATGGACATGCATCTAATGCAGGGCTCTATTATTATGTGTGCACGTTATTGTCATTCTCAACTTTTTTTTGTCTGTACATGATACCTGTATATATACATTGTATCATACATAGTTCTATTTTTATAAACAAAAAAGAAGCACAAAACAATCTTTACTCACTTTTTTATTACGCTGAAACAGACAAAAAAAAGCTTAAGTTCTAACCTAAATTATTTTGTGCGTAAGAAAGTTGAATAGAGACCACTTTATTTTAGGTTACTTTGTTTGTCACAATATCATAGATACTTTACGGGTATGTCCATGATATATTTTTTCTTGTAGGCTGTGTAAAGTCAAAAAGACGTCACACTGTGCCCACCGTCTTTATAAATAACAGAGTGATTCGATACACTTCAGCTGCAGCCGATATTTGTACAGAAAAAATTGTTGAGTCAGACAATGCGGTAAAAGTTAAAGTTGAAACAATACTCATAAAAGAAGGAAAAATATTGGTTATTTACCTAATATGATAGTTAGAAATCAGTTATATTTAAATTAATTAATTAACAACTCTGAACTCTTGTGAATCTCTGTGTGTGATGAATAAACAACAACTCTCTCACTTTTTGTGAATAAATAGTCTTAGTCATAAACAACTTTGCTGATTCGATGCACTTGAGATGCACACGTTATCCTCTGTTCACGTGCTCAAGAATTTTAAAAGCTTCTTTTCCTCCATAAAACGGGATGATTCTTTCAAAAAGCGCCAAATTTTGATATGGAAACTAAGTCATAAAGGTTGCTTAAAATAAATACAGGGTGCTAGTATTATATGTTTAATTCAAACCAGCCGGCTGTTAGCAAGCCGCAACCTTTGAGAGTACTGACGCCAGCAAACAGCACAATTTTAGGAGAAATGTCAAAATCTTAGTGGTCTGGTCTATTCAAGATTTAGAAGTGAACACTCTTACTTTTTAATATACCATCACCCGAAAAATTTGGAGTGTGGACATGGCCTGCTAATTCTAGCCAATGAAATTATAAAGCTATCCTCTAACTACAAACAACAGATGTCGTTCGACAACACCGAGCTTCCGGTAGCATTTTCTCAACAAGAGATTAGATATATTCATCAACAGTATATTCAAACGGTTCGTTACCAGTGATAGAAATAAAAATCGAGAGTCTATTCCGTTAATTGGCCGCTAATTAACGTTCAAAAGATCGCATGTTTACGATTCGTTTTGTAATGAAGGTAACAGATATGACGATAGGAATCAGACAGTTTGATAGAGGAAGAGCACAGCTTCACAACGATATCATTTTTAATTAATTCGCACTTATCATTAATGAGCTAGGATCCTTTTAAAAAATCTCCATGTGCTTGAAGAGACTGACTCTGTTTTCACCATCGACATTAGTGAGTTGACTCTTTTTACCCGACACCCTTACCCCCTTACAACCACTCGACTCTTATTTGAAAATATCTGAAAAATCAATATGAATTTTCAAGAAACTTTTGCACTAGTGCGTACATAATTACGGGCTCTACCACCGTGGTTAATATCGGATTTTTTTCAGTTAAAACGGGTGAGAAATAGTGAAATTAGCAAGAAAATTTCATGCGCTGACTCTTTTTACCCATAGCACTCTACTAACCTTATAGAGAAAATGGTGAGTTTAATATGCCTATTAAATCGCGATAAAGAATTTTCAATTCTCTCAAATGAACTGGCAATATGTTTATGCGCAATTACACGCAGAATATATTTCCGTATTTGTTTTTTTTTAAATCTCTCTTTGAAGATAAAATTCAAGGAGACAAATTAAGTATTTTATAACAAAATGTTTTCCTCTTTCCAATGCAACTATCTGTTGCTAGATTTTCTAAAAAGTATGCTAAATAAAGTCAGTAGCTACGTGTATATTTTATATTTTTATGACGAAGGCATTATTAATACGTTGGCTGCCAACGCATCACCGGTGATGCATTTGGCTTTGTTTATTTTGACTCTGGCAGCCAACGTGTTAAATTGTCTTTTTAAAATATTTTATATGACTTCTTTTTGCAGTGCGAGAGTTTTTGAGACAGTGAATGAAGCTATACTCATTTGATTTCTTTACTGGATTGAGCGATAAAAAGTGATAATCACCGGCAGTGTCAAAATCTTTATCTTTAGTAATAAAAGGATGTTTTTAATATACATTATTGTCTTTTAAAAAACAGTAATTGGTGTAACAAATTCGGAATCCGTGTTGTTTTCAATGATAGAATAGTGTCTGATTCAATATCCAATGTATTTTCTTATCACTATAAGGACTTTATTATTTTTAAAAAGAAAATCATCTGTAAAAAAGAGTAGAATTTCAAAAGATATAAGTGCTGAGGTTTCAAGATAATTAGAAATTGATCAGATTTTGTTGTATACAGATCCCAATTAAAATTAATTATGCATTACGATTAATCATGATTAACTATAAGCAATCGAGAATAATAAAGAACTAATCATAATTATTCGTAATCATTATTCAAATGTCTTGCAGCACGACGCTGCTGTACGAGGGTATAGAAATAGAAACTGTTTCCGACAAACGTAGAAATATCTTACAGAAACTGACTTTATTTCTTCAACACTTTTCATTCAAGTACTAACAGTCACATTTTGTGACTAATGTGAGATTTCTAACAGAAACAGAAATTATATTACGCAATAAATTCGTTTGATTCTTATATGCCAAAATTCTGAGATATGTTAACATATCTCTTTCTATCTGATAATTATCAGATAGAAAGAAACAAGACATCAAAGAAGGAACTACTAGACAACCATCAACGAAACGTTCATCAAACTGCGATATGCTATTTCTGTTTGGCATCCAAAATGCAATACAAAAGGAAACACCTTATTTACGACCTGATAATACGGTTCCATTCCTTCCTAAAGATAGGCTTTTTTTCGGTCCAAGAAGCTGACAAGAATACTTCAAAAGAATAATACACACTACAAAAGAATAATTTTTAAATCCTTCTGGCTTTATGAATTGAACCAAGACGATTCTCATAATCAACAATTAACAGAATGTTTCCGACGAACACTGCTCTTTCGCATGAAGCCTATAAAGCAAGGTGCACGTATAAGTTGATTACAGGCGAGTCCACAGGGCAGCTAATCTTAATTATAATTTTCTTACTTACATTTCGAACGTGATTAAAATACTCACCAACAAGTCACAATCAGAGAGGTCAGAAACTGATCTCAGGAAATTTGATCTGAGTGTAAATTTCAAGAGAGGTTAGTCTTACCAAAGTATATGTACGATAAAACTTTCTAGGCTCCACTAATCAATGGTCTAAAATGTTGTATAGATCAAAACTGAACATCTAACATTGAACGGATTTTGCACTCAGTTGCACTCAGACCGGACTTTCTGAGATCAATTTTCGTCAAACTAGATGACTGAGAGCGCGGATCGGTTTTAAATTAGAGATAACAGTTATGGTAATGACGTGATAGAGTTAGATTTTCGATATTTTCGTTCAGTAACTTTTCAGAATGGTGCAGGCCAGACACTTAAGATCTCTTGAGAATATTTTTTACAAAATCTAAATTCCGGAAAAAATAATTATATCATTATAAAATTATGTCATTGCCCCAAAAGTTTTAGCTTCAGTTCAGATCTATTCGAACACTCTATCGTTTCATTTTTGACGGAGAAATCTATTAAACGGTAATACTGCTAACAGAAAAAACAAATTATCATCGAGCAGGAATACGAATATCTTCAAAATATTTAATTCCTTTTTAACGGTTTTTGAATTTTTTATGCTCAATCTTCATGGGGACTATACCTCAGTCTGATATATTTGGTGTCTATTCTGTTTTTTTAAAAATTGCATGTCATTTATTTCGTTTAAGTCTATGTTGATTCTTTATGTGTTGTGTTATCCGTGCTACCAAGGTAGAGCTAAATAAAAAAAAGAAACACACACAGACCAACATATCTGTATATTTATATTCTGGCGCATACATAGATTACACATTATGAATCAAGAATAAGAAAAAATCCGACAATGCAAATGATATATGACATGATTGACTTTACTCATGATGACATAAGAACAGAGAACAAACAGCAGCACAGCTATGCAGAAAAAAAAACAGCAACATATCTTTCATAAACACACGTTTCAAAGTATAAGTATGTTCTCTCGTCATTCTTCCCATTTATGAAAAGTTCTGAAAAAGATAGATTTTCGGTTAAAAATAGATTTTACATTTTTGATCTAGTTTAAAGAACTATACGTTAGTACCAAGCTCTGAAAAACCTCTTCTCATTTTAAATTTTTCTTTTAAATCGTTCATACTCTTTAATATTACTCTCTTATTATGTTAAGTTGTCTTCACGTGCAATACAACAAGCAGCTATCCTGTCTCAGTAAATGTGGATGATGTTTTTCGTTTATTTTTTGCAGAACACATGATGTATCATAAAAAAGACGATCAAACAAGAAATGCAAAAAAGAAAAGTAATAATATGTCTGTGGTTTCTATCGCGGACCTCCAGCTTCGTTTCATATACGTGTTCTACCAAAACTACTTTATTATATAGATCACCCATTTTTCGTTATGTTCGGTAGATAAACCAAGTGTGTGTATTCAGTTACTCAATCATTTCCTCAATGAACAAGGCAATGATTACTTGTCTCGTAATGACTTACTATACGCATCATTATTCGTATATGATAAGGTCTTTGTGACCATCCGTTTTTGATGCAAAGGTCATAATATTGAATAATGTATGTACGTTTCATTTGGGTCGAGCAGCCTATACTACCATAGTACAAGACGAATACAGTTTTACATAGTACGCTTCAGTGGACAAACCTATTTTTCCAGCACATACGTAGCATATACTCTTTCAAATGTATGATCGCGAGCTCATTGCTTATTCTTCTTCTTTTAATATATCGTACAATGACACACCACCATCTAGTTATGTTCCTCTCTTTCTTTTAATAGATCATCTAAATAGTTGAACATAGTCTTGATTTATTATTTAAAGTTAAATTTTGAAAAAAAATCTGTTATCTCTAGGACATCTTCTCTGCTGCTCCTAGCTTAGCTCTCGATTCAAGCGAGTTGAAAGATTCTTTATTGAAAGTCTTAACTCTTTATTAAATAAATTCTCTTAATTTATTTTGACTCTTGAATGACATTAAACAATGTCAATCTAAATTTGGAGAAGAAAAGTAAGCACAGAAACTGTACAACTATTGAGAAGTTTTGTAGATTATAGAATCATCGTTTTAATATTCATGATTTGTGAGTGTGCTTTTTTTTCATTTTCGTTCCCCCATGTAGTCGTGTATAGTTACGCTTTTTTTTGCTATTGCGAAAGTATTAAGCGAGCATCTCCGCCGACTCATAGCTAAGAATAAAAATGTGTGGGATATAAAACTTTAACTTTAAGTTGTTGCATATTAAGTCAAAGTCGATAATCAATCTATTAGGTGATTTCAAAATAAGAAGTTTTCTCAGATCAAAACTCTCGATGGGGCCTCGAAACAGTTCCATACTGAACTAAGAATAATCCACTGTACATCCGTAGTCCTCTACAAGTTTAGAACAAACATATTCTTGAAAAAATAAAGAAAAAATTTTATTTTATAAGTTTAAGTTAAAAAAAAAAGTCATCGAAACAAAAAAAGAACTTTCGTATATATAAGAGACAGACGCTTACAGATCAGTTGTTCCTAGTAAAAGTAACAGAGAAGAGAGAGAGAAAGAAAAACAACAATAACATATTTCGTGTCTCATAAAACTCAAATTCAAACTCGATTTTTTTAGTAGCAGAAGTAGAAAAAAAAATAAAAATAGAGAAAGAGGGACAAAATCCTTTTTGTTAAAGCAGACATATTTACATCTACGTATATTATCATCATCAGGAACCGTTATGTTGTAGCAGTGGTAGTTAGTAAGAAAGAATCAACAATATATGTCAAGCGGCAAGTAGCAAGTGGTGAGAGAGCAAAACATATTTCTGCTGGTGTGAGTTGAGCAATCAAATAGGGTATAAGAGATTTCTTTTTTTCTTATTTTTTTAGAAAAAGCTTTTTTAAATAAAAAAAGAGAAAGAAATAACAAAAAGACATTCTGAAACCTATACTCTCTTATACTGAAACTCTAAACTTAACTTTTGTGTACAAGGCCCACGTGAGTTAGACACCCTGTCTTTTTTCCTTTTTCTTCTTTTTTTTTAACCCTTCCATTATATCTCTACATCTTTCTTTCTTTTTTTATTTTATGTTTAAAGTAGTAACTTATACGAGACGATGTGTTGTGTTAGTTAATAAGTATATTTACTGAAAGTCCTATTCTTCCAATCTAGAACAAATATCTCATTCTGCATGGTCGAGAATATTTCAAACAAAATAGTATTGTAATAACAGCAGGTACTACCACAGAGAACTTTTGTGATGGTTATGTCTTAGTTTTTATCCTAGTTAATAAATCAGTCATTATTATCATTTATTTATATTGTTTACTCGAACTAGATAGACACTATAAAGCAACAAAACTCTCCTACAATTTATTTTTTTGCATATTATTTCTTTTCTTGTTTAAGGAAAGAGAATGGATTAGACAAGCAATATGTGTAATAACTATGACTACTATTTTTAGTATAACGGAACATGAAATTTATTCCTTTTAACAATTTTACTTTTTTTTAAGGACAGAAAGTGACGAGAAGAAGAAAGTGCTTGTGTGTGTGTGTGTGTTAAGGAAAGGAAAGTGCCTGGCAACATTGTACTTCGTATGTATTTGTGGCAATTTTATTTTTATATGACACTTTGTCATCACATCGCTCACTATTCCTCTTACCTGTAGAAAGATTTAAAAATCTCTAACTAATCTCTTTCTTTAGAGTCAGATATCTGATTGTATATTTATACTTCGACTTGGTTTTTTTCCTTTAAAAATACATGACTAAACTGGGAAAAAACCAATAAGGATGTCTGTTATCGACGTCTATAATCGAACAGACATCCACAACCTTTTTGAACGTCTACATCTAGTAAGGAACTATGGGGAATAAAATAATCAAGTCAAGTTGTATAAGCCATCGACTAAAATTTTGAAGAGTTTTACTGGTAAGAATCTACATTTATAGGCGAAATAATAAGTAAACTAAAGTTAATTCAAACTATAAGTTATTGATATACGCGTTTATAAATCTTATTTCACACTCGCACTTTTGTTCGATGACTTTTGAACTATGGAACCGTGTCACAGTCAAAAGAAAAAACAGTTGTTGATAAAGAAAAATTCTCTTTTGCTTTTGTCAAATGATATACAAAATGAGAAATTGAATATTATAATATCTAACTCTAATTTTTCATTTAATATTTTGTTTGGAAATAGAAGATCAAGTTTTTTCTATACTGAGATGCTAAATAGTTGTGCGAAGTGCCGAAGTAAAATACTTGAATAAATAAACTAGCAAATTTTTTTTATTTTCTAAGTTTTTTTATACAAAAAATGAAGAACAGATTCTCTTATTATCTTTCGTTATGTTTTTCCTACCACCAACGTCATTAAAAGATGTGTATAGCTGTGACTGTTTTGAAAGAAGGAGAAAGAAATCCCACTTTTTTTGTTGGAAAGAGCTGAGTATATGTTTATTCAAGACAAAGTACACTAGTATAATAGCCTTGTAAGAACTTTACTCTAGGAAAAAGAGAAGGAAGCATTTTTCAACTAAAAATGGTTTTTTTTGTGCTTTAGATTCAATCAAACTCATTCCATTTTTTTTTGTTTTCTTCTGTGATGGATATACGTTATTAAAGACTTATAAGTGATATAAGGTGCTACAAGAAGAAATAGAGAAATAAGACAATCATTGTTTTAAAGACATTGCTATCAACATTATGCATACGACAACATCAGATCAAAATCAAAAATTAGCTCATACGAATAATCATCAGATAAAAAATGATCAACAACTTCATGATTATAGCAACCATCACCATCATCACCCACATTCACATCACCCTGAACACATTGTTCAACAACAAGTCGCTAAAAATGAACCACAACATGATTATTCAGATATTAATTCATTTCATGTTGGTCGACGACGTAAACCAAATTTTACTGATCAAGAAGTAGTGTTTATCATCGACCGATATGATACGTATAAAGAACTGTTACATTCCCGAGAAGCATCTAAAAGTGTCATCGCACAAAAACAAGCAATTTGGAAACTAATCACAGAAAATTTAAATCAACAATATCCACAAGTTGAACGAAGTGTTGAAGATGTAAGACGAAAATGGAAAAAGTTACAGAGTGAAGCTAAACGAGAAGCCACCGCCTATAAACAATCAGGACAAACTACAAGTCCAAATACAGGAAAACAAATCCATTTGTATAACAGAATATTACAAATATGTCGAGCACCAACAGCACATTATCCATTGCAACAAATACCAAATGCAGAAACATTTGAACAGGTGAGATTAATCACAGTCTAGCTTTGAATGACTCCGATTTAAATCATCAAGTTTTTTTCTCTCGATATTTTTAGTCACCTGATCCCTCGTCGTATAATCAACAAACATCTCCACAATCTGATACAGTTATTCAACATTCACCATCAAGTTTAAATGAACAAAATCCGGATGAAAATGCCAGCGTCGGAGGCGATAATAACTATGATCAAGAAAATTCAAATAATTCCGCTTATGTTCAACCTAATCCACTTCAAGCAACAACAACAACAACAACAACAACAACAACAACAACAACAACAGCTTCAAGTCCTTTAATTGCATCTTCCTCCTCATTGGTTAATGACCAAATACAAAATTCACCACATGAAAATTCGAATCATTATAGTCATCCTCATCATCCACATGGTGGATCTGTATCAAAACGTACAATGGATAAACGTCGTCGTATGATCAATGCTCAAATAAACGAGAAACAAGCGCCTGTTACATCATTTCCAAGTGTACCAACACAGTCACCGATATTGCCAAGTACTATGTATCATCAACAGCAAACACAATTACGTTTTGAATCATTACAAAAACGTAAACGTACAATTGATTTAACTAGTCAACGTTTAATTTATGATAAGGAACGTTTAATTATTGAACGAAAGAATATTGATATTAAATTACAGCAAAACGAGTGTGAACATGAACGTTGGGACATTGAAAAAAGGCGAACAGAATTAGCTCTTCAAAAATTACAACAAGAAGCAACAACAAATGGTAATACATCTTCACTTTCTTATCTTCCGTATCAAAGTGGTAATGGTGGTAGTGGTGGTCAGCAACCGACATCCGATCTTGATGAAGATAGTATGGCTGATGATATGAGTGATTTTAATGAGTAAATAGTCTTTAATTTTGATATCGTACACCGTCCACACGTTTTTTAATCTAGAAAATGCTCGATTTTGAGCACAGAATGCAAAAGTTACTAGATTTTTTTCAGCAGCGTAGTACTGTCATAGCTTTTTTGCTTTCAAACTATTGTGATAGTCGACATTCTCTATCGAAAGTTATTTTTCTACTTTTTTTTCCCATTAGTTCTCTTTCAATCCAACGAACAGTAGACGTTTCTCTTTATTTTTGAATGTGTTCTTATGGTAGAATCTCTTTTTCGTTCATGACAGTTGTCTTCAATTCTCAAATGCCGGTGGGTCAGTGAGAAACCGGCTGTATACTCAGTTCATAATATTTCCGAAGATCAAAATTTTAGCACCATATAATGTAAAATACTTTGTTTTCGTACCAAGTGGTGCTTTGTAATCCTTTTTCTATCCAAAAACGAACAATTTTCCTCTTTTTCTTTTTATTTGTTTGTGCAACACTTTTCTATGCTAGGGAAATGTGTCTCTTTCTCTCTACTATTTGTGATATTCAAATTGAATGTGATAAACAAAAGCTTTTTTTTATGTTGTTATTTCATCCTGTAATTTTTTTCAGTTTTCAATTGAATGCAAAAGCGTGATACCGCTTATTACTTTTTCATATGCATTTTGTGTGTGTGTATGTTTTTTTGTGTATTAGACACATTGTTGTTGTTGCTAAATAAAAAGTTCTTTTCTTTTTTGTGATTTCCCAAGAACGTTTTTAAAAATGTATACTTTTTTTTAGAAACAAAACATCATGCAACGAATAATAAATAAAATAACATATTTTGTCATAGTTCTAACGTTAATTTTGCCCGAACTTTTTTCAGATAATCGTCAGAATGATCAGTACAAGTAAGAAATGCTCATCATCACGAAAAATCGCTATCGCGTCATTCCATCGCTCATCGTTTCCTGTTGTCACATGATATCTAAATTTTTATCAATTTTCATTCGCAATTTTCATTCGCCATCGCGTTTGTCTTCGTTTTCAAATAATATGCTGTGAACGAAAAAAAGTCGAAAATAAATGATTTCAATTTCATAAAGTTTAACAACTTCAAAAATTATATAGCTTTGTTTAAATTTTTCCTGTTTATATTTTCGTTCACTAAAATAATTTTTCAGTTTATTTTCAATAACAATTCTATTTCCCCATAGTTCTTGTGCAAAAATCTGAAACTCTTCAGTTTTATCCTTTCAATCGAATCCACTTGAATACATGGCTTTTGATACTTTATTGTACTAGAATGTTTACCATAATATAAATAGACTAGTTCCGACAGCTCAGCGGTGAAGCACAAACGTACAAACAAGTAATTAGTATAAACCGATTCTCAGACAAAGAGTATGTTTTCTTTAATATCATCATAATTCCTTGAATTTTATTTAAAATCTCATGCATTGTACCAAAACGATAAAAACGCTGAAAAAATATATTAACTCCTACTTGTTGAGTATTCTGTTATTGTATTACATAAAAGATTTGTATATAATCATGAGATGTTACAATGAATAATTATATATTATAATAAAAATTATAACACATATTTTATCTTTTATAGCAGTAAAAATAAGATGTGATGGTTAGTTTTTATCACTGAATAACCGCAGTCATCACATAATTTTTTGATACAGTTAAATGTTCTTTAAACATGACAATATTTGTTCACGAATCATACTCGGTAATACTGTATCAATAGAATCATAATAAGATAAAGCTGCCGGGTATTTTCAAGCACATATTACATATAATTTCGTCTTTTTTCCGACATATGAAAATGGTTACTGGTTCCCAGATGAGAACCTGTAAGAAAATAAATAATTCAAGATATATTCTCGACAGGTTGAATGATGAGAGGCAAATTACTCAACTCATCTATGATCTTACCATCATATAATGGTTGTTGGTGTGTTTATTTCACATTTATAACAAGATTTAACATCATCAGGCCTGACATCACGAAACGAACAAAAACCATACTATAGTGAAAACGGGTTTGTGTACATCCTACAAGTAAAAGGTTAATACTTGTTTAGTTTTATAGATAAGTCGAGTAAGATGCTACCTTCTTTGTATAACGTGAATAGATTCAGAAATTAACATTGTATCGATTATTGCAACGCAAGATTCCATTCACCCTTTGCGATAAAAATTTATTTGATCTGAAACACATCTAAAGGTAAAAGTTTGATAAGAATAGATATTTTTCTACGGGAAAGACGAAAGAGTGAGAGATTTTGTCTACGGCTAGCACATCCTAATGAAAATCTGGAAACAAAAAGTGAGATTTTCACAGAACTTGACATCGAATTAACTGCGAATGTTTTTTTTACTTATCATATCGAAAAACAAGCAGTCTAAGAATACTGATACCTGACCAGTTCAACTTTAAAAAACGCTTTTCAGATTTATTGCTACGCAACGATTTCTGACAAATCAGAAGAGGCATAAAAATTCTTCCAATTTTTACCAGCTTTAATTCTACACCAATGCATTTGAGATTTATTGGAAAAATCACACTAGTTTAGGAACTATTTATCCTTATGATAAACTACATCCGCTATAGTTTCAAATTTAGAAGAAAAATATTCGATTTCAATGTGTTAATGAAGACAAACAGTCTCGCAAAAGAAAGAGAGGAAAAAAGTGAATCATTAATATATTGAACTTTTTTGGACGAATCGGAATGCAAGAAGACTAGACGTTATGAGAGACCACTTCGCCTCAAAGGAACAAGTGGAACGAAAAAATTTGTTACCAGTAGAGTCCCAGTACTATCCTTCTGACAATCTATAGTGGATTAACAAATAGAGACAAATTAGTTTGGATATTAATAATTATTTATTTATGAATTTCTCGGCTTTTTTCGTAGCAGTGTTTCTAGTGGTTGATGGTGTATTTATTTTGGTTTGGTTGTTAGATTAGAGCTCATTAGATGTTACCCTTATTAATAATGGAGACCAACCTATAGATCGTTTTATGCAGATTGTTTCTCGGATGCCTTTTGTATAGTAGGATAATTTCTAAATAACATGTTCACTTAACGTTGATATTCTAACAGCATAAGTGGTACCTTTAATTTATGTGTTTATTTTTATTTCAGATTGAAAAATGTCTACCAAAAAAGCATTTGTACCAAAATATGAGATTTCTGTCGGTCTTCATAAAGGACGAAAAATAGAAAAATTTGTACCAAAAAAAGTTCGTCCGACACGTCGTACAGATGTAAGGTGATTTTTGTTGAGTGATCAGTCTTTTCCCAGTTAACAGTATCTTTTTTCTCTTACATTTTAGAAAAAAAATAAACGCGTGAAATTTATTCGTGATCTTGTACGTGAAGTCGTTGGTTTTATGCCCTACGAAAGACGTGCCATGGAATTAATGAAAGTTGGTCGTGATAAGAGAGCATTAAAATATGTTAAAGCAAGAGTAAGTAGTTTTTCTAATTGACGTACAGGAAAACAATCTCTAATATTTATATTTTAGCTTGGTAGTCATCAACGAGGAAAACAGAAACGTGATGAGTTACAAGGTGCCATTCTTGCACAACGAAAAGCTCAAGCACAAAAATAACAAATTTAACATAATTTTACAATTGTTTTTGTTCTTTTTTGTTGTTGTTGAACACAAATGTGAGAAAAAAAGTTAAATTTTACATCAGATCTTTCTTAATGTTTAAATGAGTATATAACATCACCGTCATACTCAACTTTTTTGTTAAAGATAATTAGCCATTTTGCACATTTTTCCATTAAACGAAATGAGCTAAAACGTTCCTTAGTGTGAGGGAGATAATGTAGAGAAACGAATTACTAGATCCTTTCTGATGTTTCTGACTTAGTTGTTTCGCTTAAAAAGAGCTTTTACGTCACAATTTCGTACAATGTTAGTTTCCTTAAAGGCTACTGTCACCGCTAGTACAATTTGTTTTGTCACATAAAATAGTTTGTAGTAGAAAAGGATGAATCATTTCTCGTGTTATGACTCAAATTTCAATGAGAAAAATAGCGACTAGAGTACTCTGAGTACTTTATAGTGTTTACAACTTTTGAATGTGTTCTTCGTTCTCATCAAGAATAACCAACTATCACGATGCTTCTTTTTATTGATTGTCTACTTTCAGATTTTGATCAAAAATGAACAAGACTATGAATGATTTCTTTGACTCCTTGTTCAGTGAAAATAGTACCACTGTCTATGAGACACCTACATAAAAAGGCATGATATACGTTTGTGCAGAATATCATGAAGATAATGAATCGTACTTTTAAACTATCTGAAACCGCTTTTGTTTGACGTGTTTGACTGGTGCACTCTACATCATCTATTAAGTGGATTATGTCAACGAGTTAAGATAGTAACATCGATGCTTTGGAAAGTGAAATTGATGAATATAATAAGAAAACAGAAAAATTCTAGAAAAGATATGACGAGGCTTTGCTGCCATAGGTATCTATTGTGTATAGACGATTGGAAAACGGTGTTTAATGCGAATGATGGTTTAGAATGCAGAAATAGTAATGAATTGATGGTGATAAAAAATAAAGTACGAAGAAAAAAATTATAATTGGAACTATGTAAAAAAAGTTTGCAAGAATGTGACTAAATAAGGAACATGAATAACGTACAGTTCACCAGTTAGAACAAAAACTACTCGTCATGCAAGGTCTTCTGAATCAAAACAATTACGGAAAGCGAGAGATACAGAATATACCCATTTGCTTCGATGTTCGTCGGGAGAATTTTTTAGAAAAATAACTGCAAAAGAAAATATTTTGACACTAGTGGAGGTTTTTAGAACTTTTCGCGTCGGGAAAAGTTTTTCACATCAACAGACGTTTGAGCGATCGACATTTGAGTGACCTGACATTGAACTTTTTTTCCGATCAGAAAAATGGAATGATTGTTCACTTCGATAACGATTAATAACGATGATGATAACAATTTCTTTGTCGTTCGATCATGAACTGAATTATTTGATTATTGGAGATTTGTAAAGGGTGAGGGTGAACAGTTATAAGTGCTGCGCTTCGCTCAAGTGTCGGCGCTCAAATGTCGGTTAATCGTCTTTCATTTTTATGAGTTCACCTTTGTGGAAAACAATACATTCAAAATATTTATTTATTTTTTGTTAAACTGATAATGCTAACATTTTCTTTGTCTCACTTTCGTTTTATTTGTCATTTGTTTTACATTGTGAAAAATTATAGGACCAGATCGATCCTATATTTTATCCTTTCGTTTTTCTATAAAAACTAAAAAAACGTCCAGAAAAGAAGAAAACGCGTACACATATGTATTCAAGTGTCATCTTTCCGAATATGTCCATAGAATTGTTTAAAAGGTTCTTTATTTCTTTGAAAAAACATTTTTTCAAGAAATCATCAGTTTTTTCCTATGAAAAATGATAAAACCATCCAATCTTTTTCTTTTGTGAACGAGTATGAATGGACTGAAATAATTAGCAATGGCACTGTTGGAAAGAGCATGAAACACTGACTATAGCTGGTACGTTTTAAGTCACATGATCGTAGAGTTTTGATAGTATCTGAAAATTGGTTTTCTGTAAAGCTTATCAGTATTATGTTTAAAATAACTGAAAAAGCAGTGAACCAGCGGAGTAAAAATATTCTCTCCTTTCGAGGATTAAAAATGAGTGTTTGACTGCAAAATGAGAGCTGCACAGTTATCTTAGCACAAAGAATAAATGTTCTACACACGTATACGAGTTAGAAATCGCTTTTTACCGTGTACATCTCTGCATGAGTTTCGCTTTGTACTTTTTTTGCCTTTTTTGTTGCAAAACCATTTTGCCCCAAAACTCCCTTTAAACTTAAAATGTCGTATTTTCTTCTGACGAAGAAAAGCCTCAAAAGTTTCAGATATTTCAGTTAACGGCAAAATATCTTTTTTTTTTAGATCAAGACCTGTTCTGTTCATAGTAGTTAAGAAAATAGAAATATGTTTTTAATGTATTATTTGAATGATAACGGCGAACGTGTTTATACATTCAAGGTTTACTATTGCCTCTCTCTTAAAAATATTAAAACTAGCCTATGTTTCTATTTTTAGAAAGAAGATCCATCTGGAAAGCCGACACAATCAGGTAATTTACTGACAAAAAGTTTTTTGTTCTTGCTCTAAGCATATTACCAATATTTTTGTTTATGTTTTATTTAGCTCATCCAGGTGATTGATCTTCTATTGTCAATATCTTCGTTGCTAACTGTCCTACTTTTATTTGTTTTAGCAAAATTTTCTCCTGATGATCAATATTCTCGCCAAAGATTAATATTGAAAAAGCGTTTTGGTCTGTTGTTAACACAAACACCATTGACAAAATGTTAAAGAAATAGTTGAATTTTCTTTTCTCTTCTGTTATTGTTGTATTGTCACTTTTCCATTTTTGTGAAAAGAGATGCTAAATAAATAATTATCTATTATTCAAGTCATGACTACATTGCAAGCAATTGAAAAAACAAGTTTTTGCACATACTATATAAAATTCACTCGAAATTTTCACAAAATAGTTGTCTGATGGCTCATTTCTTGTGATTTGACCTAGCTATTTGTTTAACTATGGGATACAGTTTTTGACAGTTTGCCTCGAATTACACCAAGAAGTTACAATGAAGGTTATAGGAACAGTATGTGTATCTTTACGTCGCAAAACTCGTTAGTTTCTGTATAAACAGTAATATTAATAAAAATGGTATCGATAGGGTGGTTTATAAATCGGCTCATTTTACTTGAAAAATGTCCTCACTTTAGATATTTTTGACTTCTTAGACAATATTATATACAAGACAGATGAACTTGATATAAGGACATGAATAAAAGATCGATTAGTTGCAGTTAATCAAATCGAATAAAACTGTAAGGATGCTCCAGACATTTTTTAAGATTGGAGCAGTCTGATTTTTTATCAGAAATGAAAAAATTTTCTTTTCGTAAAAACTCACAGTTCAATTTTTGTCCCATATTTTCCTTGGAGTTACCACAGAAAATTTGAATATAAGTGTTAAGTACACGTTACAAGGAGAGGTCGGTATGTATAAAAAAAATCTATCCTCCCTCTACTCTCTCTTTCTCTATCAAACGTTTGTTATTTAGTTCACCTTTTCGATTTTTAAGGTTGAATGGTGGCGTTTTGAGCTTATTTTAATACGTTAACTAATAATAATCAATTGACAAAATATGTTTTATACAATACTAATGTGTTTGACCTACGCATTGGTCTAATGTCTGCATGAAATATATTTCTTTCTTCTGTAGCCTCAAACCTCTTTTGATACTTTTTTTTAATATATGGTCTCATCATCATTTTTATATTGAAATTACTGTCGAGAGAAAATTAACACCTTGTACAAAAATGCGGCACAAATTTTTGTTCATTCGAAAGATAATTGCATGATAAATTGATGTACTTATCCTCGAGGGCGATATTTTTTGCACAAGAATACTTTTACCGGGACTGTGAATTATACTATTTTTCTTTAAAAAAAACAGGTAGTCTTCATTCTCAAATTGTCGTCTTCGAATTTCGAGAAGCTGACTCGCAACTTATACAGGGTGATCCAAAAAAAACTTACCCTCTGTGTATTTATTGACTTTCTTGTATACGAATATAATTGAACTTTTTATCATTAGTTTATTCAAATAGAGCAAAGATTTCTGGACAAAATGAGACGTCTTCGAGCTCTCTAAGAACTTTTTTCATGAAATAGCATTGAATTTACGGAAGGTCGCAAGAGCATATTTTTCTTGTTTGCCCATTAATTGTCCCGATTTTGGTGGTATGGGACCTTCATGGGAATTGAATGCTGTTTCATGATAAAAGCTCTTTGAGAGCTCGGAGACGTCTCATTTCGTCCAGAAATCTTTGCTCTATTCGAATAAACTAATGGTAAAAAGTTCAATTATATTTGTACACATGAAAGTCAACAAATACACAGGGGGGAAGTTTTTTTTTGATCACCCTGTAGATTCTTATTTAAAACTCTTTTATAATCAGCAAGCTACTTCATCTTAACGCCAGCTAGTTTTCCACTTGCTCCGGCTTTCTTTTCTCTTTTCAAACATTCCTTATCAACATGATCGTATCTATTTATTTAGATATGGATCATAGACATCTCTTTTTTGTAGTAAATGGAGAATATATTTACTACTATAGTTTTTGTCTTTTGATTTGTCTTATATTGTATATTTTTCAATAAAAGCATCCTCTATATATACGAAAAAAAGATCTGGTATTAAATACTTATTATGGTAATGTTGTTCAAGAGATAAAGTATGATGAGTTGAACAACATCATACAATTTAACAAACTATGATCTTTTTCTTCAAAAAGTGTTTGTTGTTGATCTAGAGCATACATATATATGATTTATTTTTCTACATACACATATACTTAGTTGAACAGATAGAAGACATCTGAAGTGCTAAGACAAGAGCTTTATTGATTGTAGGTGAGAGAGAGAGAAAAAGAAAGGTTGTGTTATTTCACTAAAAAGAAGGAATATACTACTACTATAATATTAATCATTGTTCATAGTTTGATCAGATCTATTCAAATAATTAACGATAGCGACTATTATGTGTGTGGTGTGTGTGTACATATAGTACATTCTACAGGTTTTATAAGTAAAGAACGAACTTTAAAAAAATGAAAAGAGAGAAAAAGAGAAAAATTGTTACGTCAAATTTGAGGCAATATAAACGAGTTCGTAGATTGATGATAAATGTTATAAGAGAAAGAGAGAATAGGTACACTTGTATTGGAAGAGATACGCTTTTCTTTCTTTTTTTGTTGGGAGAGAGAAGAACGTCAAACACTGTATACATGAAGTGTACATATGGTAAGCAAATATTGTTGAACAATTTTCAAGTGTTAGACAAGCATTATTACCATTATTATTATCATCATCAATACAATTCAACATAGTAAAAATTCTAAATTGGTAGACATGTTGGAGAATATTTCAATCAACTAACATATAGGGAAATGTAAGATCGGCTTCTTTTTCTCGTCGTTTATAATAAAATATATATGTAGAAACGAATGTAAGTGATACACGCACAGATACTATAAATGTGCAAATATGTTCTTGGTGCGTGGTATTTTTTGTAAGATAAAAATATTTTAACTGCTGCACATTGTTATCTAAAATATGTAAGGATGTGCTCTGAATTTTCAATCAACTTTAATAAAATAAAGTGAATTTGTTGAAGGATTAAATCAAACCCACAGTGTTAAATACATGTTACATAGTGATTTTATGCTATGTTTTATTATGTCTCATGTAGATTTGTGAAAACTCGATCTTCTCGAGTATACTCACATACTTCTTGAAGTAAATATGTCATTGTCCAGTGTTTAAAATAAGATTTTACTAGATTTCATCTTCCATTGTTCTTTAGTAGTAAAACAAATAACGATGTATTGTAACCAAACTCAAACATATTCGTTAGTATTTCTATCTCAATTACCAACATTCGGCCTAATTGGTTTAATTTGTATTGGTATCACATTATATTTTTCTTACATTTTATCATCAATTATTTACCATAGACGTTATTCGTCATTTCATCTTATTTCATTGTACATTATTTTGTCTAAAATTGGTTTATTTTGTCTACTTTTAACGCCAATTACTTTTATATTTCGTCCAAACTTCATTGTATGTTTAGTACAAACATTATCAATTCAAATCATTCCATTTGTAACCTTCGTCTCTTTTAATCTCTATTTTATTCATAAATGGTTAACGAAATGGTCATTATCGTCATCATTGAAAATGCGTTTAACATATATAAGTGTAATAACAATCGGATTTTTATGTGCGATAGTTCAATCATCAATTATACTTAGTTGGCTTTATTATACAAAACCTGTCGATAATTATAATTGTCCAACGCATTTTAATTTGTCATTATCATTGTCGTTTGACGATGATGACAATCAAAATTGTAATCGACAATACTATCTTTGTTCACTGATATTTAATTTTTTATTATTGTTTGCATTTTCATTACAATCGTCCATTCGATATCATATTGATGGTAAACGAAAAGATTTTTTCTATTTATTGTCTGGTTTATCATCAATATGCGTTACAATTATATGGATTAGTTTTTATTTTTTTCATTCAAAAACGTCCATCTATTTTACAGAAAATTATATATTAGCCTATGGTCAAATATTCCTAGGTTATTGTTTCTTGATTCCATTATTATTCGAACAATTATTTTATAGAAAGCAAAAATCTTCTCATCATAATATATCCAAAAAACATTTAACATCACCAATTACGACAATACCACAAATTTCTCAATCAATTGTACCATTAAATAATCGTCGGAAAATATTCAAATGCTTATCATTGACGAAAGAGCAACAACGTGCATTTATGGCCGCTTACGTCAAAAGAAATTTAACAGCATCATGTGAAAATTTAACAACAATGACAACCACAACACGGTCATCTTCTTCATCTACTATATCACCAAAAGTTGTAAATAATGTTATCGTTGGTTCACCCGTTCTATCATTGTATGATAACAACGAACTTGAACAAGATAATTTCAACGATATTCAATCAAACATAAATCGAATAACACATCGTCATTACCTTTCTCGTCGTTCATCGGCAAGTAGAGACAGCGTCGATAGTTGTCCAACATTCAAAAGTACAATATCAGATCAATATAATCAACAACAAACAGGTAGAAAGTCGATTGCAACATATTATTTACAAAATGAACCAACACCAAACACGTACGTAATATCTTTCGTCTGGGCTGAACTTAATCTCTCAATTTTCGTTTATTTTAGACTGGGTACGAATATAGGTGGTGACTATAATTTTTCTGTAAATGATAAACGTCTTTTATTGTTATCATCTGTTTCGCAAAATAACGAAAATGATCAACAACCGCCAATAGAAACTTGTCTTCTAAATTCTCCCTTACAATCACTGACGAATACAATCGATACAAATACATCAAGTTCAAAGAGCGATGAAGATAATCGATCATTGATTCATTCAAACATATTTCGTCAAAATTGGGAGTTAAGACCAAGAATTTAAATAGCTGAAACTACGACTTGTTTCTGAGAACCAAACGATGTGGAGGTTATTTGTTACTGCATTAAAAAGGTTATTATCTTATTTCAGTCACAAAAACACGATATCTATACACATTCTCGAAGAAAATTATTAATTATTTAGAGTTATTTGTTTCTTTTACGTTAATTATCTAGTAGTCCTTAAACACAGCACCATTTTAACCGTTTCTTTTCTGTTTTTAACCGGTGTTTAAATAAAATGAACTATTCATCTCATCAATAGATGATGTTAAGTGGATGTGTCAGACGTATCACGAAAACTCAATCAAAAGCTACTTCATATAGTTCATAAGTACTAGTACTACACCACTTATATCGAATAACGAAAAAAATTAGCGGAAGCATTGTTTATTTCATTTCTGAGATAATTCTATCAAACGAAACAACAAAATTCACATTGGTTCAGTGACTGTATCTATCAAAATGTCCAAAAGATTGATTATCATTTTGAAGATGTATAATGCTCCTCGTGTAACAGTGTTGCGTCATCCATTGACAGCTTCTAACGCGGATCAAACTGAGGTAACAATTGGAAAAACGAAATACTTTTGTGTGATAACACACGATCATTAAAATATTTTTGAAAATTTCGTTGCGGTTCTTGTAGAATCCCGTGAATTTCTTTTGAATAGCATAGTTCTGTAATGGAAAATGTTTTCACCCAGAACGTCGAAAATGATGTAATTAATGGCCAATTAAATGCCTTTTAATGTGTCATTAGTCGACATTTAAATGGCATCTTTTTGGCATTCGGCCCGATTATTTGACCGTTTCTTGCCATTATAACTGGTCATATTTTAACGTCCTAAAGTAACATTTGTTTAAATGGCAAAAAACGATCCAAAACAGACATTTAATGGTAACAGTTTTAAGGTCATTTTTACACATTAATTGTCAGTTAATTGTCACTTTTATCAACGTTTTCTAGGTACGGTTTCTTTTAAATTGATACCGGGAAAAATACTATTTATCATCTTCCCCAACCCCAGAACCACAGACTGCTTCCTCGAGACTATGACTCCTACAATTGACGAAGAGAAAAATTCTTAATTATTTTAGGAAAATCAGTGTCATTTATACTAGTCATAATGGCAAAATAAAATGGTGAATGGCTCGGTGATCCCAAACTGGCTGTTAAATGGCAATTTATGATCAGTTTTCTGCTCTATTGAAATGGAGAAAAAGCTGTCTCAGAACGGACATTTAACAGGCACATTTATTTGGTATTAGTTAACGGTCTAATAAATGAACGAAAATGTTATTTAATAGTGTCCGTAAAATGATATTTTTTCCCAAATTGGCTATAATCTACCATTGTTTTCACCGTTATTGCAAAGTCAAAAAAAAGTCTTTATAATGGCTGTTAAATGCCAGTTTTCATTCGATTTTTACACAATTAACGGATCATTTTTTGGCATACGGTTAACAGGCTATTAATGAACAATTAAATGGCATTTTTCGTCGACTTGGGTACTGATAGTAATTTAGTTTATAGTATATGTTCTTTTCTTAAAGAGATTTGTCATCCAGGATGCATTAGATACACTGGGATGCCATACAAAAGCGGGCTACCACGAAAAACGTGCAAAAAAGGGACGAGAAAATCTATCTACAGGATAGCAAGAATGTTATTTTCTCTTCTTGGATATTAGAGATCTGCACGGGCAAGATTTTTTTGCCCGTACCCGTCCGTGCCCGTAACCCTACTGACGATGCTTGTGCGTGTCCGTCCGTGAATTTTTTTCACTGCCTGTGCTTGTCCGTGACCGTGCGTGAATTTTTTTTGTATATGAATAGTCCGTATATGAAAAAAATTTTCTCGTCCATGCGTGTATATTATGTTGTCCTTTCTGTAGCATGTCTCCAACTGTGTATATTTCATTCACAAAAAATTCAAATCTTCGTACCATTTTGTTACTCAAAAAATTTAAAATATCTTTTTGAGAAGCCCGTGCCCGTCGAAGGGAAGTAGTTGCCCGTCCATGCCGCGGCCACGGAAATTTCCGTGCCCGTGCAGATCTCTATTGGATATAGATGAGTTAGGAAAAAGGACTCATTTCAACTGAAAAAAGGGTTTTGATGTTTATATCTTATTAATTTGAAAGATACTGGATACAATAGAAGAATTCATATTTGCGTAATTACTTATTTTCGAGTGTCTAGTTGTATTAAAGAAATATATTATCTTCGATTAATAAATATATTTTTGGAAAGAACCAATGTTGAAATGAGATTAGGAAATAATAGATCCAGTTAAATGAAACCAAATCTTGTTTAAATATATTGATTTAAACATTGTGTATTGAACAGTATTATAACGTTTTGCTGTATGATAGCACTGTAAGATCGAACATTTCATAAATTTTTTTGTCGTCACAAGGGAAAAGATCTCAACATACCAACGTTAAAGTAGTTATTCATTAACAAGGTGCTTTCATTTTATAATATTTTTGAAGTGAGGGAAATCTGATGATTTCTGACCAGGTTCTTTAATTAATTCATCTATTTGATTTGAACGAACCTAACATAATTAAATAAACAAGCAGCAGATTAGAAATTGTCTGTTCAAGAGTATGATAGTCACTATAGTGACCAAAGAAACAATGCAAATAGGACACTTTTCTGAAAAAACTTATCTTTCCATTTCTCTTGCTAGAGATGTCTTAACTAGGTATCAGAATAATTGTGTCTGACAACAGTCTCGATGTATTTTCGTTGCCTTGAATGTGACTACATGATTTATCCATGGCTGATGGACGACTAGGTGTCTTGATCGTAGCTAGTGCATTGTACATTTGATGCATTAGTGATGTCTATCAAATGCACCTAAGCTATTTTTTGCAATAAAGGCAGCGACTTAGAGATATAGTCTTCAAAAAAATATCTCTAACGCCTTAAGGCGACTAACAGTAAAAAGATGAGAAAATGCACCTTATGTGCTTCAAAATGCACACTGTAAACATATTTTGAAGCCAGCCGAGTGATTTATCAAAACACTTTTTATTGACAGTGTACCCTAGTGAATGTACTCATGCGTGAGTACTCAAAAAGCAGGCGGCCTTTTTTTCTCAGGCAGCCAGAGTTGGACTCTAAGTCTATTCACAGACAAGTCCATCTCTGACTAGACAGAATATAAATATAAATATATATAAATATTCTATATGGAATATAAATATTCTATGTTGCTTTACTTAAATTAAAGCAAAAGTCAAATTTAAATTCTACGTTCTCTATACAGCAAGTGGATTAAATTTACGGACTAAATTCGTTTAGCGCTATTGTCGACAATTAAGTCATTTGATGTTGAGATGTAACAACAAGGTTTTTGTCAGCTGTCAAGGTTGCGTCATAGCGCACTGTTATCTGGCGTCATCTAGTGAGATGTGTCGTCAGTGCTTCCTTTGTGTTTGATTCGGTCTTTAGTTTTGTCTTATAAACAACAAAACAAAACACAACACACCATAACGCAAAAATAAATTTTTGAGAAATAAACAACAACCGCCTCAGTTACAGCAACAAGGAAAACTTGTAGCAGGATTACAACTTAGTTTAACGGAAGATTAAACTGATAGGGAAGTTGCCTTATCAGGGTTTCTGATGAGATTTTGAAGCAACGCATGTACGAAGAGTGTGCTTTCTCAAGCACGTAGACATGCATACTTTCTTCTTTTTACATCAAAAAAAGCTTTGTTCATATCCAGTTTTCTTTAAACACTAGTGCAGCATAAATGCACGAAGAACCCATTCATCAGAATCCGCTACGACCCCGATGAAAACATTTTCGCTTCGTCACTTTTCAGAAGTGACGCTTCATGTTTCGCCTCTTTAGTGTCGATATTCCTAATTCTATGTTATGTTTTAGTGCAAACAGTTATAGTAATTCATACAAAAATAAATCAAAATTTCATGCTTATTTTCCTACAAAACGATAATGTTGTTTACTATTTGTGAGTTTAGATCAGATCCTCGTTGAGTGATGGTCATGTCTGCAATCGAAAAAGTTTCGCTCCTCGAGGATTCCGTCTTACCAGTTTTTAGATCTTCTACGACCTGTGTCCGTCGAACAAAGGAATTTTTTCCCATGCGGGACCTCGTCTCCCTCACACATTTCTATGGTGCAGGCACAATAGCTGAGAAAAACTAAAAAATCACGAATAGACTGTAGAGAGCGCTTCTGTCGATTCATTTGTTCTATGAAATGGAAGGAATGCTCATGTGTAATACTGGTAATTCAAGATTGGCTTTTTCTCATATTAAGAGAAGTTTTATTGAAAACGAAAGTGTAAATTGAAATTTCAAAGTGTAGACGGTGCACTGCAATGTGTAGAGTGTAGCTTCGTTTTGCAGAATTTGTTTACAGGAGGATAGTTTATCGTTAGAGATAGCGCTTATTGCGTACGAAAACGAATGCATACGATTGTCAGTGTCGATATTCTTTGTCTTAATTTTAGGCATGTACCGTCGATGAAAACGACTAATGGAACGACTAATGATCGGATATGCTGACCTGGTAAGCGTTGATGCGGTTACGCTGTTTTTCTAATAGGGATGATTTTCCTTTTGTTTGTTCAGCTTTCAGATGTTACTGTTATTACTACTAGAATTGTTCATTAATTTTCTTATATATTAATAATGGACTGGTTTGATCAAAATCCGCTTCCACCCATCAATCTCATTACAACAGCACCATTAAGCGATGGTAAGAATACTTATTGGGTATGTTATCTCTCTGTTCTACAGATTGTTTTCTTCTTTCAGTTGTACGTGAACTACCAATATTATCATTACAAAATCCTGGAACAGAAAGTTTACTTGAATCTATGTTTGCGGATCATACTTCAATGTTGTTAAATTGTCGTGATATTAATTTAGCTCAACAACTGTGTCAAACATTGAGTCAAGTTAATACACAGTCTTTGTAAGTCGAATTTAATGGAGGAATACGTAAAATAGATGTATTGATTGTTATTTTTTTTTCTAAGAACATTTCGTCATTCGTCAGATAGCATTACAACACTGCCGCCTCTCCTTCAAACATGTTTACAAATTAATCCAAATACATTTAACGGTATGACAGAACTGAAATTTTTATTTTTAGATATCTTGTTTTTTTCTTAGGGAGTACATCACTTCAAATACCGTCAGGAATAGCGCCACCACTGCAGTTTTCATCACAGTTTCAGTACGTATAAGATGAACGTCCCAAATAAATATAATTAGTGATGTGTATCTCTTTTCAGACCGACAAATCAATCATTTTCTTATAGTCCAACCGGTTTTGCTGCACCACATCAACAAATAAGTCCAACTGCTTGTGCTTACACGACTAGTTCATGTATGTTTGTTGCTTGAAAATCTGTTCTTGATTTTCTAGGTTGAACATAGTGTCAGTTCATCTATGTTTTTAGGATCATTCATATAAGTAAAACAAGCTATATTCTTTCTTGTTTGCCATTTCTTTTCCTGTTTTTTATTATTTATTTGAATCTAGTAATTATCCGCGCGGAGAAGTTTTGCATGTAGTCTGAATTTCAAGATGCAGCTTAGAGTACACGGTCGAGGCTATAGATAAAAGTAGATGTAAAACTTGATTTTGTCTAGCCAAAAATAATTGTAAATGTAGTATCAAAAGTGGTACATTAATTACGGTATTTTTTATTCAGCTTATCCGCATTCGTTCTTGCCATTACAAGACAATCCATTGACCAATAATCACAATTTTTTACCATCCTATGCACAAGTTCCAACTTCACAATCAGTTTCATCGTCTTTGTCAAACAATATTCGCCCGACGATACGTCCCACAGCCGTCGTTCCACCAATTCAAAAAGAACAACAGCACATACCGAAAGAAAAAACAATTAGTCCTAATGCACCTTCATCCTCGTCATTGAGTTCAACCTCCATTTCTCCGAACAAACAAGAATTGATTTTTACTGAAAAATTCCGATCATCACCACCACCACCACTATTCTCACATGATCAACATCAACATCAACAACAGGTATAGGCTCTCATCTTTTTTCCTAGAGAATTTTTCGATATATGAAAGGTTACGCCGTTAATATGATTTGTATAATTTCATAAATTATAATTATGCATCGTACCAAACATGTTCGCTACATTTGAATAATAACAAATGGAAGACAATATTATTATCATTGAGATGTATTGTATGATAATCTCATAGTTATTCGTAAGGCTAGACTTAAATGAACAAACATCGAGAGATTTTCAGTCCACAAAGTGGATTTTTCACTCCGTGCGTGTTTTTACGTTTTAGTTATATTTCGATGTCATACATTTCAAATCATATTATTTAAAGAAAGTTTGAAATTGTATATAGAGTATGCCTCTGACCCAAGAGGTAATTCTACTATCACATTATATACCATATAATGTATGTTCTAAAGAGTAGAACTATTGCACATCTGATTAATGTTTTATTTTTCGAAATTTCTCAGTTGTACAAAAAACGAAATTACGATAAGATGAGATATACTTTGTAATATAACTTGGAGACGAGGTGTTTTATACATTTTCCAGCTTTCTCTGAATACCATTTCATCAGCCAACTTTTCAATCTTTACACACGTAGTTGATTTCTATATAACAGTTGGCTTTGCCGTATGCTACTGTGATCAGGAGAGAAATCGCTGTTGCTCGAAAAATAGAAATGACCAGAAATAAAATATTTGTAATTTTTATAGAGTATTCAAGTTTCACTTCTTTATTTTAGAATTCAGATATATGAGCATGAGGTTCTCAGTAATTATAGAGAAATGAATCTTTTGTCCATCTGTGAACAAAATTCTAATTATTGATATAACCGTCGAAATAAGCCCGGAAGAACAACTTCTGCAGACGCAGACGTTTTTCTGAAAGTTTTAGATGCATTTATAGAAATGTGTTTTCCCTACTCACTTGCAGACGAGCGAAAAATAACGCACAAAAGTACTTGAGTTGTAACAATTGATAGTCAAAGATATTGAAAAACGTTTGCAATTGTTATTTCACTCTACTCTAATTCGTTCATGAATCATTTTTTAGAAATAGCTAATAAAAGTAATCTTTAGTTTTTGATAAAAGCGTGTACATGTTCTAATTGTTTTGATGCATTTCAACCTGTAGTATGACTCATCGTCTTTTTTATGGCAAACTGAACTGATGGACACATCGAACAGAAACAAAAGAACAGAACACGTGTGACCGCTATACACTCCTTATGCTTGTATTAATCTACTCGCTTTTTTTTGTAAATTTAATGTTATTTCCTGATTTCAGCGTATGGCCGAAAATGATACCAAATCATCTGAAAAACAAATAGGTAAGAAAAATATTCACTATATATGTTTTCACTTATTCTTATATTAGTGGAGTAGGTTTAGCGTGGAGCTGGAAAACGTTTTTGAGGTGTCAAAAAAGTATTTTTTCCATAACAGATCGAAAAACGTTTCATTTTTACTCAGCACATTTGCAGAGTGTACCTACCGATAGAACTTTCTAAATCTTTACAATATTGTAAAGAACTATGAATATCTTTTAAAATTAACGAAGGAAATAAAGATTTTTCTGTTTTCAAAACTATGCTAACTTGATCTGTATGAGTCTCTACCGCTTTTCTAATACACAAACAAGCCGCGCTAGTAAAAACGGTAATTGCACTAAATCTCTTTACTCTAACTGTGGTTAAGAAAATAATATGCTCCTGTAAATTCAGATCTTCGTCTTCTGTTATTATATATACACCACGCTTTTTTACGTCATGCATCATAACTCTTTAGTGATTAGAAAATTCCTGGAGTAATCCTACATTCAAGGGTTGTAGTAATCAGTACGAACAGGACGGACGGTAATGGCCAAGTTTTTTGGGTAGAGTATGACCAGAGTTTCCGATTGCTCTTAGGGATGGGAGGGGCTAAAAACTTTGCTTCGCACAAAGTGGCTGACGAAAAAAGTTTTCGAAATTTTCTGGCAGAAAGTTGCTGGTGGAAAAACGTCAAAAATTTTAGCAGAAAGTCCTAAAATTTTTTTAGGGAAAGGCCAGCACCCCCTGCCCCCCCTGATCGAGAACCCTGAGTATGACGCAGGTTGGACTTATAAAACCCGAACTCAACCCGACAATTAGTCAAAAGTTTGAGCTTTTTTGAAGTCAAAAGTGAAAAAATGCTTGTGGAATTGCTGTTCCTTACTTGTTTTCTAAAATAACGCTTAAAAAATGATCAGCGTTCTTAGATTTTCTTTCATAAATGGAAGTCGAAAAAGGTTTGAGAGATCACTTTCTTAGGAATATTGCCACTGCACATAATAGTTCGAGGAAAATCCATCTGCAAAAACATCTTTGGTTTAATCTTTCTTTTATTTCAGAAATGAATGTACAACAGCCACGCATCATTCTTCAAAAACTTGAAATCAATGAAAAGTTGGATGAAAGCAAGCGTTAGTTTCTTGTATAGAAAACGTTCCTCTCCTTTTTTATTTTATCCTTTGTTCTTTTAGCTCTTCGACGTACAACAACAATAACGACAAAACAAACAGGAGCAACAATGCCCAGTCAAAATCTCGACTTACCCTCTGATTTTACGCCAGATCTAATTAAAGAACTATTGCAAGATGGATGTTCATTAAACGGTCTTGCTGGTTCATCAGCAGTTCGACAACGTCGTGCAGCTGCTCCATTGTCATCTTCGTCTCGAACGCCATTAAGCAAACGGCGATATATTAATGATGGTAAGTTTAAGTATTATGAAGTAAAAAAAAAATTAATCTAGATGGAAGGAAAGACGCAGTTACGTGAACGAAGTTTACTGCCGAACTTAGATTTTCTTTTAATAGAAATTTCAACTGCAACTATCAGGAGTTTCTTCTAAGATGTGTATTCATACATTTAGATGAGGAAGAAGATGATGCGGATGAACGTAGTCAATCGCCGATTGGTAATGATGGCAATTATCAACAACCTAAAAAACGTATTCGTCGAAAAGAACTAGATAATCCATCATTAACGAACATTAATACAACAAAACATCAACAACCACCACAAGTAGCCAAAGATATTGAAAAACAACGAATAAAAGAAGAGCGTGAACGTGAAAAAATTGAACGTTTAGAAAAACTAGGTCGTAAAGCAATGGATATTGAAGATGATCCATTGGAGAATACTGCTTTTCAACGTTTCGTTGAATTATTAGATAATTTCATCGATGATTATGATCGATACGAAGAACGTTTAGATGATTCAATAAAAATTTCACAATCATCACAATCAGACACAGAAGATGAAAATTCAATGTTAGATGTTCTATTATCTGAGTCAACGTTAGATGAACTAGCAACATTATCTGAAAAATTAAAATTATCAACTTATATGAATCGTATTGAAAAAACAAAATTAAAACGTCTATTAAAAATAATATCATTTAGAATAAAACAAGGCATTAAATTACATCCAGTATTAAATCATAATAAACAACAACAAGATGAGAAAAAAGCACAAGATGAAAATTTTGATGATGAAGAAGAAGAACGATTATGGCGAGATATTATTATTGAACGTTTATTGCTTAGTGCTAATGCTTGTGAGGTGGCTCTAAATATAATGACTACATTAAATATGTCAAAAGAAGTATTTATTGAACATGTTATAGAAAATTTAGCATTATTTGTTAAATCGCAGTTAACAAAAACAATATTTCCAGAATATGATCCTGTTTACAGAAATGATTTACAATCAAAGGGTAGGATGTAGTCGGAATTCTTGTCAGTTGGTATGAAGATCGATGCTTGACTGTGCATTTCTTTCTGACTTGAAATAGTTCATCTTTTTTATTTTAGTCATGAATATACAGAATATAGAGTGTTTATTTGTCTGTTTAGATCCATTATTAGCAAAACAAAAGCGTTCAAAAGTATCTGGTTCAAGATGTAAAATGGTACAACTTCTTTACAATAAAATAGTATCATTATTTCAAGGATTAATTGATTTAGTACAGTTAAGCCGTTATCCCGATACAATTATCTTATCTGTACGTATTTTGTAAATTTTTTTCATATAGAAAGCCATTTTCATTGTTTTACTATTTAGATATCATCGTTTACTGTCAGCTGTATATTTGTTGAAAATATAATGGATTTACAACAACATTCAATTAGTATTTTAACACAAATATTTGCTCGATATGATAAACATCGTGATTCAATATTAGATGATCTTCTATTATCATTAGTACGTTTACCAACAAGTAAAAAAAGTATCCGCTGTTATTATTTAAATTCCGGTGAATCTATTCAAATGTTTACGGCATTAATTATGCATTTAATTCATTCACCCGTATCCAGTGTTAAAAGTTTTGTACAAATGACTACAGCATCATTGACGATTCCTCCAAAACAATCATCCTCATCTTTAAAACTGGTAACACAGCAAGCAGATGAAATTACTGAAGAAATTCGTTTATTAAATACATATACATTAGCACAAAATTTAGCATTTAAATTTCTGACAGCATTTTTTCGTACATGTGGCATGAAGCAAGGAGAAGATGATTATCGAACGATATTTGAAAATTTTTTACATGATTTATTGATAACAGCCAATAAACCTGAATGGCCATCATGCGAAATTCTTCTATCATTATTGAGTCGAATATTAATGACAAATTTTTCGAATAAAACAATAGCCATCAATATTCGTTTACAATCGTTAGATTATCTCGGTAGTGTAGCAGCACAATTAAGAAAAGATACAATTGATCCAAATTATTTAAATTCAAAAGATACATTATCCAGATTAGATGAAATTGTTAGAAAGGTGAGTTATTTAGTTATAGAATGGGCTAAAGAAATAACCACACATTTCTTGGATTTTAGACATTGTCAAGTATTGAAACAGACGAGGAAATAGCTGAAGATACAAATGATCCATTACGATTTAACAAGGGACTTGTTATTTATCTAAATGAATTAAGCCAGAGTGATAGAACAAGTCATGTAAGTACTTAAAGAATAAACCAGTAGCATATTAGACCAGTCAACTAACTATCTTAATGCAAAGAAAAAATTTTTTTGCTCTTGCAATGAGCTCCAAGTAAAAGTAAATATTTTTTAAGAATGGGTCGTGTGCCATCGCTGAGAGCAACTTTTCGAAGTTTCATCGTTAACTACTCGGTTTTTGAAAAGAACAATTTGTGATCTGATAGAAGAAGATTATTAGAATAATATAACTCGCTTGTCTTTATCATCACTATCCTTACCATTGGAGAAAAATCGATGCAATTTGCGAGTGAAAAGTAACTCTGAATAATAGGGTTTCTTCTCAGATACAACAGAGCTGCATATAAAATATTGTTTTGTTTGAACATACACTAAAGTTGTCGATTTAATCATTTACTCTAGTTTGCCAAAATGTTTTATATTGGTCAATGGTTGCGTGATTTAACTCTAACAACAGAAAAATTAACTCAATCATTAACAAAGAGTAAATCAAAACAGTCCACAACAAATGATAACAAAGAAGAAGATGTCAATAATGATGACGATATTGAAAATGAACATGTTAAAACAAAGACATTGTCAGTCGAAGAGGAAATTGAAATAAAACAAATCGAAAAACAAGCGATTCTAAAATTGTTAGCATTGCCATCGACCATCGGTCTAATATCATTTCAAAAACAGCATATACATCTTGATATTGACTATGATGATGCATGTTTACTCATTCGTTATTTAACATTAAATCGACCATTTTTACGGACATTCGATGTTTATTTAAAACAAATTGCAAATATATTTCAATCAGAAGCTGGTACAAATATTCGTAGTAAAGCTATGAAATGTTTATGTACAGTTGTTGAAGCGGATCCAACAATATTATCGAGAAATGATATTAAATCGTGTGTACAAGTGGGTTTAACAGATAAATCTATTAGTGTGAGAGAAGCAGCTATTGATTTAATTGGAAGATATATCGTTGGTAGAGAACAACTTGTGTTGCAGTATTATGATATTTTATGCGAAAGAAGTTTGGATACAGGTTAGTTGAGATAGCCTCTTTTTGGTTTACTTTATAGATCAATGTATCTAAAAATGTCTTATCTTTATATTTTTTTATTAAGAATTTTAATTATAATATCGTACCCACAATGACTGATATTTTTTTGCTATTTTATTTTAGGTGTTAGTGTACGTAAACGTGTCGTAAAAATATTTCGTGACATTTGTTTACATCAGCCAAGTTTTATAAAAATACCGGACATTTGCTCACGTTTATTACGTCGTATTCAAGATGAAGAATCGATACGTAAATTAGTTTTAGAAACATTTCAATTATTATGGTTTACTCCATCTCGTTCGAAAAGTGATATACGTACACGTGTTCAAATTATCATTGATGTTATACTCGATTTTAAAAAGCAAAATTATCAATGGTTAGAAAATTTACTCAAAGAATTTTTACATACAAATGTAACAACAACGGCCAATGATTTAGATCGAAAACGTATTAATGAACAACGTAAAGATGTATTGAAATCGATTCATGAAATAATTGATGAATTAATTGAATATGTGCTGAAAATGGAATCATTAACAGTGACGAACGATAATGATCAAGGCGCATCCGATAAAATGGTATCGACATTCATTGCATTGTATGCATTGGGTAAAGCAAAACCTGAATATCTAATACAACATGTATCAACGATTGTTGATTATTTAAACATAAAATGTACAACACATAATGATAATACAATTGTACAATATGTGGCAAAAATTTTAGAATTCACTGTACCATTAATGAAATCAGCATCAGAGACGTTGATATTCAAATTGGAAGAAAGTTTAACTAAATTATGTCTTGTCAGTGGACAAATGGTGAGTGTATTTTTGAATTGCTGTGTGTTCAAGTGCGAAGACTTAGAAATATATATCTACTAAATGGTAGACTGATGTATGCAATTAGAATTATTTCAGACTCAGCTTAAATACAAAAGAAAAAGAAAAGAGATTTGTTTTGTTAGCATTGTTTTTGATATAAAGTTTGAAAGTGAGTAACACAAAAAATTTTACCTTTTTTATGCTCATCAACTTTTGGAAATAAATAATTTTTTCTCAGTATGAAATATTCTACCTCCTCCTCCTACGAAAATCTATAAAAAACGTATGAATAGTTAGAAGTATAGAAAATAGACCAAGTATCCGGAGTTCTGATTAGCCTATACCACATAAAAAGTTCTTTATCATACCAAAACTCGCTTTCTCCATTAAATTCAATTTGTTTTTGTTTTTTGTTATAGGTTATATTCAGCAGTATTGCTTGTCTATGTGCTGTAATCAATCGACTATCAAAAAATTTCCAACTGATTAAAGATTGTTTCAAAAAATATTATGGTAAATTTAGAGAAACATAGTCATCATGGTTGAGATATAAAATTGGCTTTCTATTTTTAGCTTATGCAACAGATCGGCAAACATATTTAAATAATAGTCCCGATATGGAATTGACAACTCAAGAAAGCGCTCATTTATCTCGTTCATTGTATATATTGGGTGTTTTATGTAAATATTTTGATATTGATTCTTTAGATTTTGAAGATTTTGATGTAAGTATAGTCGTTTTTATTTTAAATACTTCGTTCTACATTTTGACCTATGGTAATTTGTTTGCAATACATATTACAATATAATAAGTATAAAAAATGCTAAAGCAATTCTGGAAACAAATCACTGAACATACGCTACTTGTGCTAGTGTTCAACAGATGATTCCAACTTTTGCCCACATTTACGAACTCCAGAAAAGCGATCAAGTAAGGAGAGAGCATTTCAAAAATTCAAATAAATACTTTTTGCAGTTTCAAGCGTTTCTTCTAGCGATAATGTAAAAAGAAAGGAAATGACCGTTCAAATTATTCATGTGACTTCATAGTCTGTGTCAAATATAACTGGTGTCATTTTCATTTTGTTTGTTGATATACATATGAGTTATATATATCTCCATGCCATGGAGATATATCCATGGAGTCCATGGATATGAGAACAAAACAAGAAAACAGCGTTATATATACTTAAAAATATACATTTTAGCAAGATACCAATTGTTGACGTCGTATTTACAGATAGCAGAAAACAAAAAGAGAGTAAAATAGCAAAAGAGTAAAATAGAGATTAAAAGGGAAATAAGTTTTGAAAGGCTCCCTAATGAAATAAGAAAAAATAGATGGCTCGAGCGGCAAAATGTTTCAGAACAATAATTCTTAGTGTATAATTTTATTTGTTTTTTTAGCTATTTACCGTTGATGATTTATTTCAACTGTTTATCTATTATATTAATCATGATTGTAATCAAATTAAACATAAATCATTGATTGGTCTAGGCTATTATTTACAACGTTATGGACAATATTTACTTCAAGATACTGTTCGTCATTTGTATACATCATATTTAATTGATGAAAATCAATTAAAAATTATCCGTTGTCAAATATTAACAAATTTAGAAGATTATTTTCGTGATTGTATACGTCGAATTTCAGAAGAAGATATTGAACATACAAAAAAACGTCGACAAAATAGCGATGGACAACAACAAAATGGCACAACAACCAAAGATAATGATGATATGGATAATAATAATGATGAAGATAGTAATCAGAAAAAACAACGGAAAAAAAGTGGTGGTGGTGGTGGTGGTGGTGGTGGCGCAAATGAAGATTATTCAAATTTAAAAGATACATCTGATATTCATTCTGAAATGGCTAGTTCTATTGCTCAATGTTATTTACGAACAATATTAGATACCTATTTAACACCAATAACAGCAATTCGACAATGTGTACGTAAAGTTGTTAATTGTATTTTGGAACAAGGTCTTGTACATCCCGTTCAATTTATACCAAATTTAATTGCAATGACAACCGATAATGATTTAACGGTACAACAAAATGCTGAACAAAATTTACAAGAATTAGATAAAACACATCCGGGCATTATTCAAACAAAAGTCATGCAAGGTTTAAAAATGTCCTATCAACTCCAAACGTTATTAATTAGTTCTGTATCAACAACAAATATTATTCGTGGTATGGCTGTTATACCGAATCAACAACAACAACAACAACAACAGCAACAAACACAACAACAATATTGGAGTTGTAATCATTTTCTGTACTCATTGATACGAACAAATCGAACATATCGAAGAGGTTTACTAACACAATTATTAAAAATGTTCGACGATACAACAACATCATCTCTAGAAGAACAATTATTTGTTGCCGATAATTTAGGTGAGTGATTTCTAATCATCCTCATAGATATTGTGTTCAAGAAGTAATAATTACGAACTATATAATTCTTCGGCTATAAGAGCTAAAATGTGTGTATGTATAATTTTATTTTAGCCTATTTTCCATATCAAGTTCAAGACGAACCCTTGTTTATCATTCAGACAATTGATTTGAGTGTTAGTGTGAATGGTGCTGGTATACTACAACAATTTCGTGAAATACTTAAACGACAAATTACAAGTAGTGAAATAGAAGAAGATGATGATGAAGATGTTATGTTAATGGAAAAAGTTTTATCATATTCAAATGCTGTTATATCGGAATTATACACATGTATTCGTTCATCGAAATCTTGTTTATTATTACTTTTATTAAAGCAATATTTGAAAGATGTTTACGGTGTGAATGATACAAAAGTGAGTGAATATGATCAAACAGAAGCACAAAAAGTAACCGATCGTCCATTGACAACAAGAAAAGTTCATTTAAAATTTCATCCAAAATATATTATAAATTATATTAATGAACAATTACAAACTGTTCGTGTTACGTTTTCGGATGACGATAAAAAACAATTGGTAAAAGATTTTCAAGATTTTAAAGCATATTTATTAGCATTTGACATCGAAACACCAGCAAATCCAGTGGCGGATGATGATGAAAGTAGTAATATGAGTGATGAAATAAAACCTATAACAAAACAAACATCGGCAACTACTCAACATCAACTCATTCTTCAACCAACATCATCAACATCATCTAAAAAAAAGAAACAATCAAAAAAAAAATCAAAAATGAAAAAACGGAGCACATCGTCGAATAAAGGTGATGAATCGGACGATGCTGACAAAGACAATTTTGTATGATTGTAAATTCTATACTCTCTTTCCGTTGTGTGCGTGCCTCATTCCTTTGTATAATACAATTTTGTATCTTTACTCGTTTTTTTAAGACAATTAAGATAAATTTATACACATTTTTTCTCTCTTTTTGTTTCGTTTTGCTGATATATATACATATGTGCGTGTTTCTTAGATTTTGTGACACTATTTTGAATAGAAAACAATTGAGAAAGTTTCTTTTTAAACCTTTTGTTGTTTTTTTTCTTTCTGTTGTTGTTGTATAGCAACTTTTTTTTTATTATTATTAATATTACTATTTGTTCTTGCTTGTTGTTATAACGCAGTTTTTCTTGAAAAATAAACACATGCTGTATTAATTTAGAAAAAAATCCTTTATTAGACTAACATAAGAACAACCACAGCATATTAAATTTGTTCCTATTGTATTACATTTCTGCTTCCAAATGTAGTATATGATTTTTGACTTTGTTTAAATACCGATTCAAAAGTTATGATAAAACTATTCTCCTGTTATTTAGGCCTCTACTATAGAAAATGGAAGACATATGATTGATCGAAAGAAATTTTCAACCAATCCTATGTCTTGCCTGCGCTTCATTCAATTCCAGTTTCTAGTAAAGACCTTTATTGACAGATTGGGCTGTAATGGCCGCATCAAGGTCTAG